ACAAGTAGCTAGTGATAACTAGTGAAAAAAAAAAAAAAACAAAAAAAAAAACAAAAACAAAAAAAACAACAACAAAAAAAAAAAAGCAAACGTGGAGGTAGAAAGTGAAATTTGAGTGAGAAGATAGCAAAAAAATATTTTTCAGTCCCCCATTAGGATACCGAATTTTTTCGGGACCCCCTGCTTATTTCCACCATTTTCAAAGCTCTCCCATATAACTCACACATTTTCTCAAGACCTTCTTTTTCAGGTTTAATAAAATTCTACTAATCCCCCCCTCCCCACCCTCCCCACCCTTTTTTCGATAAAAAATGAGTAGTCCCTAAAAACTTACAATATTCTCTTTCAGCCTTCTTCGGAATCTGAAACGGAAAGACGACCAAAAGAAAAAGAAGAGAAAGAGAAAGAGAAAGATAGAGATAAAGGTCGTGACAAAGAGCGTGACAAAGAGCTTGACAAAGAGCGTGACAAATCCCGTGACAAATCACGTGATCGCGAAAAAAGCAGGGACAAAGAAAGCAGAAGAGAGAAGGACAAAGACAAATGGTCTAAAGACTACGATAAAGATGATGAACGAGAGGAAGAAAAGAGAAGACAGGTGAGAAGAAAAGAGAGCCTCGAAGAAAAAGATCCCGACAAATCACCCGAGACACGAGCGAGGAATAAGAAGGTGGATATTCTATAAAACATTTGGTGACCTTTTCATATCGCTTAGCATCACAATAAAATAATAGAAAGTGAGGTCGGAATCTGTTGTCTCTATGTTATTGTCCCGTAAGACAGATAGCCCATGTCATAAAAGTATTCCACCATAAAGCCGTATGGGTTCCCTGTGGTGCGTAGAACATCTTGGATGCCGAGAGGGCAACTATTGATAAACCTATAGACTGCACAGCTGTCAGGGTGTATTTTTATATAACTTTACGGTTTTCAGTGAGAAGCACATCTAAATAGCACTTGAATTGGCTTGTAGTTAGAACAAAATTTGAAATATCGGGACTTCAATTTATTTGAAAACCTAACCCCGCCACTGTATGCTTTATAGATTTCTACGTGTTTGCCCCTAGACTTCCCATAATTCAAGATGGTCGCTGTAAACGAACGCCAGTGCGTAGTTGTGCAGCCAAACAGAATGTAGGATTTTTTTGACCAGTTGCTTTTGTTTCTCATATAACAACAACCACAAAAACAACTGTTTATTTGTACCTTCCATTACAGTTACAAATGACATAGAGAAAATAAAGGGTTGAGATACTAGCTGTCTGAAATAACCATGAAGGACAGCCGATATACCAAGAAGTATATCAAGAAGTAGTATCATTTATAGCCTGGTTGAGCCTTGGACCAGTTCTCTTTGTTGGCTCTCTTCCTTTTGGTTTTCCTCCGCCTCTGCGAAACCCCCAGAGATTGTTTAGGATTCAGTGTGTGAGTTGTGGCCGTGCCCTGACCTAGATTAAAGGATCGATMTGTGAGTTAGCCGTGCCCKGACTTAGATCAGCCCAGAGGTCGTTTCAAGTTTCGTTATATGGGCTAGCTGTGCGGCTTACTCGGCCCTGACTAAGATCAGCCCAGAGGTTGTTTCAGGGTTCGACCTTTGAGTTATCTGTGCCCTGACTAAGATCAGCCCAAAACACCAAAGTTTCACACATTTTCATAATTACGCAATTAACACAGCCCAACTGGTCTAGGAATTTGGCATCCATCGTTTTTAAAAAATACTAAATCGGAACGGAAGATCGATGGAAGAAAGTTGGAAAACTCGGATGTCTGAAATTATGACTAGTTGTCTGGCTCTCTTAATGCATGAAAATGGGTATGTTAAAGAGATAAATCTAATAGTAGTGATATGATGACGACTCTCTGTTGATTCTAGAATATCTGTTCTTTCAGGGTGAACGGAGATCGTCTTCAAGCGAGAGTGAAAGTGAACTGGAAAAACGCAGACGTGTTTTACTCGAACAACTTGGAGCAGCTGGCAGTATGATACCTTAATAGCTCGTCATAGTCTAGACCTCATTGGCTGGGCCATTATGTCACGTGTTAACACTTTTTTAACTAGTATCGTTTGAGGCGCATGTGACGTCATAGCCTTCCGCCATGTTGGATTGCTCAAACAAAGACTTGGACTTCACTTCTTTTGTCGTCGATCAACGTAGACAAAAATGATGGATTGAGGTCTAGCTGGGTACAAACAACACCATAGGGCATGATGAAGACTGAAATATGTTTGTACCGAAGCTAGACCACAATGCACCATGATCGCTATATCAGAAAAGGTTTGCAATAGTCCCCTTCACAGTTCCCTGCGCCATCTTGAAAGGTAGCCTTGCCTTTGCATCGACGCGAGACGAACGGTGAGCATGCAATGAGAGACCTTTGACAATTAGTCACATGTCTCTATCATTGCAAGCTCACCGTTTGTCTTGCTTCGATGCAAAGGCACGGCTACCTTTCAAGATGGCGCAGGGAACTGTGAAGGGGAATATTACAATGCCTTTTACTTTCATTCTGAATGGACCAMATTCACTTCCCTTCCCTTCTTGTATCGATTGTGACGTAAAATCTTACTTCGAACTTTCAAGTGGTCGACACAGCTGAAATAGGAAAAACTACGGCCAATAACTAAATAGCTTCATTACAAAACACTAGCAAAACTACATTGCAAAACCCTCTCAGATAGTGTAGTATAAATACAGTATACATTGATATCATTCAGACTTATTTCAGGCAATAAATAGCAATGCTTTACCATTCTCAGTGCTTGAGCTAAATCTTTCTTTGAGTCTTAAAATGCGAAATTATATTATTAACGGAGCTCACGTCTAAATAAACCTCCAATTTAACTCGGCTATAAATGTTGTGACACCTTTTGTATTTTATCCTACTCGGATAATAATCTAATTCAAGTCTTACYGTCACGCGGAATGGGATCCATTATTACAGCCATTCTCAATCACACTCGCCCTCAAGCGATTTTTTCTATCGCGAAGGTCTTGGTGAACGTCAATCACAAGGCGTTTCCATAACATTGTCGTTAAACATAAAGCTATAAGGGCACGTGCCTATAGATTCTCATGGAAACGCCTTGATTGACGTCCACCAAAAGCTTCTATGTCGCGACAGAAACAATCGCTAGAGGGCGCTTGTGATTGAGAATGGCTGTAAATATCCTAGGGAAAAACAAGGCACCAAAGTAGCCTTATATCTAGTTCCATCAGTTCGTCAGGCACCAAAAATATTCTCTATATAATGACCTATATTTACATACCTGACTTTTTATTATACCATCGACCACCTCGACCACTGACACACAAGAACATATACTTARCTTATATCTTAGTGTGTTGTACCAAGTGGGACACTCGGTCACCTCGACTACTGTCCCGGGCCGAGCCGGGTCATCCTGGGACACAAGAACATCTCTATATACTTAGTTTATATCTTAGTCTGTTGTACCAAGTGGTGTGCCAATTACAATTCTAGAAATCTTTTACCGCTCAATTATATAACTTCTAAAGCCCGGAGTTACAGCCTCAGCTGCTAAGACAGCGTATGAGCCATTAATCTATGAACACCTCATTCAAATCCATAAAYGGGTACTCTTGCGAAAGAATGCACTTTTCACGAGATGGAGAAGACAAAAAAAAATTTTCATTTTACGACTGGGATGCCACAGGCAACCCAGTAACGAGTGTCTATTGAATAGCGCAATAAGTGCTACTGTATGGTTGTCGTTGTCGTTGTAGTCACCGTCCTGCACCACAATTTCAGTYCTGTCCGGGACCGACCGAGGTCAGCCGGCGACACCATAACATTTCTATATACCTAGCTTATATCTTAGTCTTTTGTACCATGAGGGACACCATTAACAAACGAATTTCCAACCCAAAGATTAGCCTCGTGTTCACGCAGTAACATAAAAGCGTTTTTACATGAATGAGATGCTAGTCAGTCCAGAACAAGTTACTCTAATTCGTCGCCATATTTCGATTGGATGTATTATTTATATTATGCCATGACTGATGTAAAATATAACAATTGCACAAAATATATGATGAAACCAAAGATAAAAAATTTAATAAAGAAAGCTGGTATAGTTTACATCATTAAGATGGATAAGAGAGCTTAAGATATAGTAATACTAAACTGCATAATATACAAATACCATCGATATKTTTACAGCGCAACGCGCAAAGTAATGACCACATTTTAAAAATGTATTCACATGCTTCTGTTCATGGCTTTTCCCCACCAGCTTCGCATCGTAATGTGTTGCTTTGAAGGCAACTTGTCGCGCAACGGCGTTGCCACACAAGTTGCATGGAGCATTACAGGGTTTAACCTACAGCGCAATTTGAATAAAAATGTCGTGAGACAAGTTGCAGCAATTGTGTCGTAAGGCCCCAATTAAAGCAGCAGTTTTCTCTGCAACTTGTCTCACAACAGCGTTGCGACACAGGTTGCAAGAGTGTTAACACAGTGCCACGGAGACTCAATCGCTGCCAAAGGTAAAAACGAATTTTACTTTTGGCAACGATTGCTGCAACTTGTCTCGCAACATGTTTTCAAATTGTTGCGCTGTTGGTTACACGCTGCAATGTTCCATGCAACTTGTGTGGCAAYGCCATTGCAAGACAAGTTGCAAAGATAATTGCTCCATGTAATCGCGCCTTTAGAGTATGAAAACCTAGAGGTATGCGAATACATTAAATATGATAAAAGGATATCCAATATTYACTAGCTTATGCTGGGGCTCGGAAAACCGCCGAGTCCACAGAGACGGGATTCGTTACCCTCCGGATACCAGTCGGATGCTTTGGCAATGAGCTACAGAGAGGGGACTATGACAGAGAGGGGACTATGACAGAGAGGGGACTATGATTACTTAACATTAAATTTGGTCCTACTTTTGCACGTTGCACTGTAAATCCCCGTTTATACTAGCGGTTTTTTTGCGATTTTGTCCATGATAAATAATGGTAAAGAATTTACTTGTAAAGCTTTTTTCAGGATACCAAGATTTTTCCAGACGAATGTCTCTTTTGAAGGATGAGACAAAATATTTCATATTTCCGAAAATTGCCACAAAAATTGCAGCAAAAATCGCCAGTGTAAACGGGGCTTAAGTGGTACAAATTTCATTTTGTAACAATATCCTAAAATTTGTTTTCAAAACGTGTTAGGCGTAAGATATATTCTGTCAGTGTATTGCCAGTCGTTAGAAAGCACAAAAAAGAGTGATTTACACAACAAAAACCTTAAAGGGGTTTTACTCATTTAAACTGCCATAAGGGATGGTAATAAGGGATGGCAGAAAATAAAACATTGCTACCTAAAGAATTTTATGTATTATTCCCCTTCTTTTKGCAGAAAATGAGCTCGCAAAACCTCTCCAACGATTTCTAAATTATTATTTACAAAAATAACTTGGCCAAAAACCGTCATCGTTATTTATAACTTTTACACGTCCTGGTGAAAACACAGGCGCATGAACCCAACTTACAAATGTGTTGGCGCCATGGTCATTTAGGGGTAACGCAAGCGTCCCTTGGCAGACCATTGGTTTAAAGATACTGAACCTTTCAGGATAAGAACACATGACATTGTAATAACGSTGTAAATATGAATAATAGAGAAAAACATCCGCGCATGCGTTCATGTTAGCGCGGTTTTCTAAGAGCCCAATAGCGTCTAGGTGAGAATTGTTTTTCCCCCGTTTTTTGTTAACATACAGTGGGGGGGTAGTAGTATGTAGTAGTATACTTTCGCGAGACCAATGTACTGTATAATAAGAACGATATTGAAAGCTTTTGCCTTAGACGTAGAGCATGCGTAGACGTTTTCCACTCGTTTTCTTTCTATGTACCCTTTTCTTAAAACTGTCTTGAATGCAAGGCTGTCATGAAAAGACAAAAGTAATGCAACAAATTCCATCGAGAAAAAGTGTGATATTATGTTTTCATGTCAGCCTAGCATTCAGGACAATTTTGAGAAGGGTACATTACGAATTCAAATTGAATAGAATCAATATAAAAATTACTATATTAATGTACTTCCTCTGTTCAAGGTCCTTAATGGCGGCGAGTCCCAATGAGCAGAGCTTGTACGTTGATAGAACCTCTTCTTCTTCTTATAAGTGAATATCTCATCAAGATTGGGCATTGCGACTCCACCGAAAATAGCTTCGACATCGAATTTCCCCATGGATTGATTGATGAGTGCAGCTTTTAGTTTGGCTCCCTGTGCCCAAGATGGTATTCTCTTTTTTGGCGCGTCTTCATCATCAGTAGAATCATCACTGCATATGTCATCTATGTTGTAATTTTCTGTARATGCAACGCTTCGAATCCGAGGAGGCGGAGGTGGCGTCATGTCATAAGAATCAGCATTGTGTAGTGCTTTGAGTCGTGCCTCCTCTGCAAGGCGTTGTTCTTCGAGTTTCCGATGTCTTTGCCTCTCTCTTTCGAGTTCTTCTTGATACGCTGCTTCACGTTCCTCACGAAGTTTCCGTTCACGTTCTTGGCGCCATTTTTCTTCTCTTGCTTTCTTTTCTCTTTCTTTCCTTTCGTGCTCTTCTTTCTCCCTCAAGAGCTGTGCAATTCTCTTGCGTTCTTTTTCCTCTTTTTCTTTTTCTTCTCTCATTTTCTTTTCTGCGTTTTCTTTTTCTTCCTTAGCTTTACGTTCTTTTTCTTCGATTTCTCTCAAGAGTCGAATTTTCTCTTGTTCTCTTTCCCTTTCGAGTTCTTGTTCCCTCAATTCCTGTTGACGTTTTCCTTCCACGATTTTTCTTTGCCTTTCTTGTTCCTCGAATTCTGCTTTCCTTCGCAGCATTTCAGCATGGCGTCTGGCTTCTTCTTCCTTCTCTTGAAGTTTCTGCTGCCTTTGTTCTTCTTCTTGCTTTCTACGGGCATCTAGCTCAGCTTTCTTTTGTAGGCGAGCTTTTCTTCTCATCTCTTCCTCCTTTTCTTTTTCTTTCCTTGCTTTTTCTTCCTGCTGTTTCCTCATGTCTAATCTCTTTTCCATTTGCTCTCTTCGTTCTCGTTCTGCGCGAGCTCTAGCTGCGCGTAATTCTGCAGCTTTCTTTTCTTTTTCTTCTCTTCTCCTAAGATTAAGAAATAACATGTATTTAAGAGAAAATAATTTTAGACTTCAATCTAGACATTCGCGCGCCGTGATTGGTCGAGCAGCCAGTGATTTTTGAGACGATAAGGGGTGATTATGAGGATTCTCAAAGTTTGCCAGAGTGAAAGTAGTACTCAAACGTTTGAAAAAAAAAATGCAAGCAAGCAAGCAAGCAAGCAAGCAAGCAAGCAAGCAAGCAAGCAAGCAAGCAAGCAAGCAAGCAAGCAAGCAACTAAAACCATGCCCCATTGTCAACAAACCTTTTTTGGTCTTCAATTTTCTTTTGTTTTTGCAATTCAAGCTGTTCTATTCTTTCCTTTTCTTTTTCTTGTTTCTCCAAGATGGCTTTTTTCATCAAACGAGTTTTCTCCTAAAAAAACAATTAATACAGTATACAATAAACAAGAGGGTGTCGTGGTTTTCTATGTCACTACGTAAAAATACGTAATTTTTGAAAAGGTTTATTGCTATAGATAGTATTCAGTTCAACTAGTTAGGGGCCGTTTACATGGAGAAAACTTGTCCCTGGTAGCAAGGACACCTTTCTACTTGAGCCAATTATATCGAGCGTTCATATGGAAAGAAGTTGTCCCTATGTATGGGGAAAAGTTGTCCCGAGTACCAGGGTCACCCTCTTTCACAAAGAGGGTAACCCTACCGAGCAGAGGCAAAGTAAAATATCTCATGTAAACGGTCGAGATTAATTTACAAAGAAAAGTGAAGAGGGTATCCCTTCTACCAGGGACAAGTTTTCTCCATGTAAATGGCCCCTTAGTAAAGATTATTGTTGTTTCAACTTTCTGACTATAGCTGTGAAAGTTTTGAAATGTAAAATAATATGTTTAGAAAAACAATATCCTCAGTGGGTGGATTGTCAATGTGCTACAGGTGCCCAGAGCTGTTCTTCATTGATGGAGAGGGTTCACAACTGGGGCAGCTTATGACTTTAACTTTAACTTCAGCTTTAACAACGTACCTTCTYATCTATTTTTGTTGGTGTGTTTCTTTTGATAAACGAATGAATAACTCCAGATGGGTTCTTGATAACCTGTGAATAATATGCTAAGTGAATATAGGGATGATATATTTATCTTGCTGTTCAAAGACTCACTGCTTGGTAAATATCACCTAATATTCCCTATTGTTAATTTACTATGTGACCAACATTTTGAAATGATTTTGTAAATTGTATCAGGCAACATAAGCCTGAATAAATTAAGATTTTCACCATTGTCTTTATTGATTTATGCGCTGATTGAGACAACAGTCACAAAACGGAATTTGGCCAACAGATTACTATCTATACTGTCCAATACACCATGGGTTAGGGTTTTCACTTGACCATTGTATCGATTAGCAAATAGCAAAAATATACTGTGGTAATGGACTACTTTGATGATACGGTGGCCATCGTTCCAAGGGACAAAACAAATTAAGATGAGGGTATACCGTATAGATATATATAATATATGTATCATATTTTGTATTCTCTTGTGGTGAGCTGTTAATATCAATCAAYGTCATTACTGTAACAAAGCTTTATTTGTCCCGTGGATGCTCCAGCAACTTACCCTGGTTGGTCCAATGTAAATTGGATTTTTGTCCTTCCTGTTTTGACCATCTTGTAACTCTGGCTCATTTTCAGAGCTACATTGACTCAGATTGCCTTCTTTGTCGGAGGTTTGGCTTCCTGAACCGCTACAGAAGGAGTGATCACCATCCTCACTAACTTGAGATTCTCTGCTTTGATTTCTGGATGATGACCTAGTTGTTGGTCTAAACAAAGACATAATCAACACTCAGAAAGGTGGTACAAGTTGGAAAAGTAAGGGGGTAAGGAAAAGAAAGATAAGGGGGTTCAAAATCAGCAAAATCAAATGGAAAGTTTTACAAAAGATAATCCGACCTCCCACTCCATGGTAGAGGCATCTATTGCATAACCCCCTTTCATCACCCTGCTTGTAATAGTTCTTAACCCCCCTCAACATGTGATAGCCCCCCTCAATAGACATGATAATCCCCCTCAATATGYGACAACCCGCCCTCAATATGTGATATACCCCCCTTTAAAACCACTTTATCAAAATAAAGTACCCCTCTACAATATTGCAAAAATTGGTTCCATAGGGTGGATCATCTTCTACTGGATTCCAATTGGAATTTAGAAGTCTTTTTTTTTGGAAGGGAGRGGGGGAACCAAACTGGCTTGAACCCAGGTGGCATTGTTGAGAGGCGAGCAAACTTACCGCTATGCCACTTGTGTTTTATCATAATTAAAAGGTTTAAAATATGCATGCATAACATTTATTTAAAATAATAACATTTACATACCTTGACGTGGCATCTTTTTCTTCCACTTCTTCAGCTATGGCTTCAGTGGTCTCTGAGGCATCGTGATATTCACCACCATCAACTTCTTCCACACTTTCATGTGCATCATGAAATTCTTCCTCCTCAGTTTCAACATCTCCATCAGTATTCTCTTCAGCAGAATCTTTGTTCGTTGTCTTAGAAGGAGTAGATGAATAGGCTTCGCAAATCTCTGGAAAAATCCCTGCCTCTATTATTTTATTGCTTTCTTGATCTTCAAATAAATTGGCTTTTACTTTGTCTAGTTCATTGCTGGTGTTTAATGTTTCTGGTTCAACAGAAGCATTGTCTTTTTTAGGGGTTAGACTCGGCATCATTTTCTTTGATGATAACTTAAGTAATACAGAACTTTTCACAAGGCTTCTGCTTTTCCTAATTTTGGTATTCCTCTGATTTTGAGCTGCTTTCACAGACAACCTGCYTGATCTCCTTGTGCTTGCTTTAGATAAACGATTGCTTTTCCTTTGTGCTTTAGGAGGAGAGCTAACTGTTGAACTAACAACTGCATTATCTGAGTCAGACTGCTCAAGCTTTTGCATCTTTGTCATACTTTCCTCTAATCCTGCTTCATCATTGTTGGTGGATGACGAGATCTCTGCTGGTTCACCATCATCCTTACTGTCTTGCTTCCTTTTTGTACCTCGGCAGGAACTTGCTCTACTACCTCTGGATTTCGTTTTTCTATTAGTTTTCTTAGTGGATGAGACAGTCGCTTCACTTATTACTTGTTCCTGGCATTTTGGCTCTGGTGTTTTGCTTTTGACGTTCCGTTGATTTCCGTAGGTGGTTGCTTCCACAATAAGCACAGGGTTAATCATAACTTCGTTTTCTTCCTCAATAGCTTGTGTTGAAATTTCCTGAACTGGTTCAGCAACTGATGTTGGTGTGAGAACAACTTGGAGTGAAGGCATGACAGCTTGAGGCTTTTCAATACTCGCTTTCTTTGAACTGGGTTCAATATTGGGGGTTTCAGGAATAAATACTTCTACAGATGACGGCATTTCATTGGCAGGAGTTTCAAATAACTTGGATTTCTTTGTCACGCATTGCAATTGYGCAGGTGAATCTATTTGTGACCCATCATGATGTGAAGACATTTTGACTGGAGTAGCTGCAAGATGATCTTCTGTTTCTTCTTGTTTTCTTTTATTTCTGGTGGATGTTCTCTTAGCTGTAGCTTCTTTTTCATCAGTCTTATCTACCTCATTATCTACCATCGGTTGTTTTGAGTCATTTTTCTTCCCTCTTTTTTGTCGTTTTGACCCCTTTGACTGCTTCTTTGATCCTCTACCTTTTGCTTTCCCGGTTACACTATCTTCAACATTTTCAGAACCATTTTTAGTCCTAGATGCTCTAGCTCTAGTAACGCGGCCTTTTGGTTCAATCATTTCTGCAGGGGATCGACTTGCTGCAGGACATATAGCAGGCTTTTTGCTTTCTGGAGTTTGACAGACATCTCTGAGCTTATCCTGGCTTCTGTCAGGGGATGAAGAGGGTTTATTTTCAAGCGACTCGTCAAGACTTCTTACTATACGTTTTCGCTTTCCTTTCATAGAGGGTGTTTTGGGCAAAAGCGYCACACTGTCTCGCCTAAAAATATAAATATACTAAATTGTAGACATTTATTTTAATGATAAACCTTTCCATCTACCGTATTCATTATCAAAGGATATACAATGCGATTAGTATAATATATTCGAAGACTCCGTGTTTCAAATTATACAATCATTTCAGTTAACGAGTCTAAACTTCAAACAACTATTCAACAAATATTCCACACTTACCTTCCGAAATGCTCCTTAACCTCGGCAAGAATTTCATCCAAGTATTGAAAATCATTATCCAAAATGTTCTTTAAGAAATCTCCAATTAATTGGGTGGTTTTTTGGTGTAAGGAGTATCCAAGAATTGGATTTTGATTTGCGKCCTCGTCCATCTTACTTCATTTGTATCAGCCAGTACACAAGACCACGAGGTGCAAGATCGAGTTTAACCAAATTCCAAGACCCAAATCACAAGTCGTAGTTACTCTTCGATGTCCTGTTAAAACGTTTTGACATAGATAAGTCCACAATTCAACGATCGAACAGGAATACAGCTCAAAAACCTGTTTTTCAGTTCGAGTCGATAGATGTTCGACGACTTCCAGATCAGCTCACCCAAACAATGTCAAACTTCTGGGATYTGAACTCCAAAGATTCTATAAAAACTGTAGTTTCTTTTACTCAGTCGAGATAAAAATCCAGCGATCACGATTCCAGTGAAAGCAGTCGCTACTTTCAACGAAAAATCGGCCAGGAAAGCAGAATATATTTTTTACATTTCTTTACCGTTTACCGAACTCTTCTGTACTAAATATTTGAATTTTAACCGCGGTCGGCTCTTGACCAATCAGAATCCAAGGGTGTGATAATGAATATTGATAAGGATGTCATGTGACAAAAGGCAAATTATCAATATTTTATTAGAAAAATGCTATATTTTCATAGCATTTCGTTAATAAATAATCATAATGATGAATATTTTGTTGAGAAYTTATCGCTTTAGACAACGAATACAGAGAAAAATTTGTTATCGCGGTAAATTTCGCGGTGTGTAAAACATATTCATAAATATTCAAAAACAAAACATCATTATTTATTTAAAAACAATAAATACAGTTTTCGGTAATATTTTATTCTTAAACATAAAAACCGTTGCTTGGATATATAATACATTAGGCCGTAAATAGAACAAATCTAAGACTAAATAAGTCGCRAAGACTTACTGATTTGAATGATTGGTAAATATTTCTGAATTTATATCCTAGAGCAAAAAATGAGATTTTAGTATTTTTCTAATTTTCGGAAGATGCTTTCGTTCTTTTCATGAGCCTAGAAAGGAAGGGAAAATGAAATGAAAAGTGGATAAGAATCCCGCRGGATTTTTTCGGGATGCCCAGCGGTTAATCAAGCTGAGTAAGCGCGTAATATGGTGTTGTGATGCACTGACAGATTGTTTATAAATTCGACCATTTTTGGCATTAATTTTCCTCTGAATTTCCCCATTTCCTTCTGTCCAAGTATTCCTGAATGTGCTTCAATAATTATTTCAATAATCGAAGTTACTGGCCTTCTCAATTATGGATAAACTATGAAGATGTGGAGAGATCTTGTTTGAATTTGATAACTTATTAGGCCGACAACCAACCTTTAAAGGCTTATATTTTCTTTTCACGTGTAGAATTATTTTACTCAAGTCAGGAAGACGAAATAATGCCAGGAATAGTCGTATTTAGAAGACGATGGATGGTAGCCAGTGATGATTTCGTTATTCCTTTTTCTATTGCTTTTGTGGTACGCGGAATTTGGTGAGTAAGAACAGTAGTATTAATTTAATTTTTGTACACCAACAAACTTAACTTTTAGTATTGTCTTCATTTATAGCGAATGACTCGATTATTATTATCATTCGACTATGAATTTCCCGATAAATGTTTTAATGAAATTTACTTTTGCCGTATTTTATGTACTGTTCTGTCAATTTAACATCGTAAAATATTCTTATTATTCTTTCACAAAAAGCTAAAAAAACAATTGACTAAATTTTTCAATTTCAAGAAAAATACTCACTCGATCGTTTGGTAATTTTTCTTAGATGTTTACAAGTTCATCTGAAGCCTTAGAAAAGATTTACCAAATTATACTTCTTCTGTTATATTTATTTTTGCCCATCGCTTTTTACAGAATTTGAATCATTTCTCATTCTGCATCTAATATGTTGAACATATGGTTTTACTTTTAGCATAATATCTCCGCTATCTGTGTATATTTCATTTCTTTTCCCATTCACGGATGAAATTTTATCTCAAAACTTAAATAGAAGAAGCTTTCTCGCTATGATTTTAGCCTATGGGATGTAGGTTATTGAACAGTTTTTTTCTTTATTTCATCTGTAAATGTAAGCTATATGCATGCAAAGCTTGGCACATCAAATATTTAAGACTTCACAGTCTCTGTGGTTACTTGAAAATTCATTGTTAAAAACTCCTTTTGCAGAAATACTGGTGTATAGCATTACAGCTGTAAGACCGGGGGGTGAAATACTTTTCTATCATAGAGCCAAAGGATACATTATTTTTCTCTGCATCATAATTAAGATTTATATGAATAATTATAAATGATTGGATTGTTGGCAGACAGTTAAATATMTACAGTTCATACTGCAGGCTTTGGTTTTGACTACAAGTTTGTGTGCGGTTAAATTCTTTGTTTAGTTCTTTTAGTTTTGTCAAAGCGTTTATGTAATGAATACAGTATTGGGCGTCAAAGATGTATTGTACTTAAAAACTGGAGTGTTCTGGTCATAACTAGTGATTCTTTGTTTTGGTGTTATAGGTGCTAAAAATATTGAATTATGGATGCTTAGTCTATGTACTGTATATAAAGCTAGTAATATAGCTGTAATATAATTTGAATTCAATGCTACATTTTAGAGGGTTTAATACCTAAGAATGTTTACTGCTGGGTATTGATAACCCGAAAAAATTCAGAAATGTTCATATTTTTAGTGTCCTCACTGTAATATAGTATTAGTTTAATTATTTTATTATATAATGCATTTTCTATACCCATATATGCTTGTGTTAAAAGCTAATTACTGTTAGAGTGCAAACAATATATATCCGTGAAATATTAGTAATACTAACTTACACTATTTTATGCTGAATCTATTGTTTTCTTTTGTAATTAACTAGCACTATTTTGAACAATTTAGTAATAAGTGTTTCATGGATATATTGTTCGCACTCTATTGAATCCTACCTCAACTTACAGTGAGGACTGCAACACTTGAACATGGATGAACATTCTACTGTTTTGAAACAGTATGCATCTTWAAAAAATTGGGGAAAAACTTGTTTTTATGTTTTGGTCAGTGCCCTCATAGTATAATCCCTTAATTTATTATATTATTTTATTGATATCCTCTTTCTCAAAATATTGTTTCATTTTTGAAAACATTTATTCTTACCACGTCAAGTATGCCTTAAGTATGGTTTATCATGCTGAAAGATCTCTTTGAGCRAGTCCTCAGATACCAGGTGTTAGARGAAATCTTGTTTTWAAAAAAATGAGTTAGCTACTGTATTGAATTGTTATTTAGCATGTCTGTGATATTTTTCAAAGACTTTAAAGAATTTCATATAATTTTACTCTTTTTCTTCAGTTATTACAATTGCTGTAAAAACAGATGGCTACAGCTTTATTATGCATAAAAATTTTTGTATGATAAATGATTAGAAGATCACATATTTAAAAAAACTTTGCATTTTTAACATATTTTTTTAACACCTTTTTTTAGCATTATGCTTTCCAATAATTAACAAGAGTAGTGTTTTACATTGTGTGATACTAATTGTTCTTGAAAAAGAGAGCTTTCAAGGYGATATCATAGGTTTTTGTATTATGTCAGTAAAATATCAGAATACCACATCTGACAATTAACTTCTCAGTTGTTGAAATAACATTTCTTTAAACCTTTATTTCAAAATTATTTCTTCCAGTAATTAACATGAGTACTATTTTACAATCATGTACTTGTAGTGTACTTGAAAAATAGGGCTTTATAGACAGGATAAAAAATATTCATGTGAGATACACTTTAGTTTTAAGATGTTCAAACTAATTAGCTTGCATAATATTTTATGATTTTTTCATTAATAATAATTTGATCTGCAAGACTTGTTGGATTAAAAGACTTGTCAGTTTTCTAACAGATTGTTTCAATTTTAAGGCTATTTGAAAATATATCATTTTCCATATATAACATAGGAAGATTTTTTAAAAAATTTGTTAAATTGAACATTAAATATTATTGATATAATTATACCAAATATTCCAATAGCTAGACTGTTATGTCTTGCCATTACAACAYATTAGGGGAGTCAGAATGGCATGGGTGGTAAAACACTTGCCTCTCACTTCTGAGGTCAGGGGTTCGAATCCCAGTCACCACATATGAGCTCCATATGAGTAACATCAAACCAAAGCTGTTTGCCTCACGCTGCTGTATCTACAGTAAACAGATTTAACAGGTGTTCTAGATCTACAGATAGAAATTGATGGAAAGTACCATTAGTTTTTGCAGAATTTTTGTATGATTAGATTATCTCCAAGTCTTTGATTATTTATACACTTACACTTAGCTCGAAGGACGTTCCTGGCATAATTTAGACAATACATCAAGGATATCATTAAAAAGTTTCCACATAAATATTTTGTCAGGTCAAAAAGAAACACTTGAAAAGTACTAAATCTAGTCAAAATAAAAAAAAAAAAAATTGGCAAAATGTCAGAATTATCGATCAATAAAAAATGACATTTTTGAACCTATGCCTTGATAAATAAAATATGTTTGACTAATAGATAGAGAAATTGCTTCAAAGGCCTTTTTGCATGAAGTATAATTTATATTGTGTAGTTCGAGTAATAATCCATAACATGTCCCTTGGAAGTTACTCTTTTAGGGGGCTCTGTCTGTCTGTCTGTCTGTCT